ATTAAAAGCACAAGTTTAACTCAAAAACATAACCAAATCATAAGCTAGAAGGGTACAAAATGATATACAATTATGAACCGATCACAGGTTCCGCTCAAGCGCCTGCATGCTGGGTTGCTTCCTTCTTTCCTTCGTTTAGTCGAGCCAACTCCAACATTGCGCCCATCCATGGCAGCGTCCCTTTCTTTTCATTTATCTGCTGTTTGTAGTTTAACTTGTACCTTGTGTGGTCGTTTTATGTGGTGTATGTTTGCTTGTAGTCCCCTCTTAATCGGACTCCTGTTTCTGTTGTTTGCTATAATAGATATTGGAAGTAAACAACAACTATTAATACTTCATTGGAAACCAAATTAAAACCAACAACTCATTACTCAAAGCCACCATAACTTTAACGCCTGTGTAATTTATATTTGTTATTTTCTGTTTGGTTGGTAGGAAAGTACATGAAAGGAAAATAAATTATTGGAAAGTGGACTTTTAACAGTGATACCTTCTTTTTTTTTGTTTTTGTTTTTTTCAAGGGTCGCCTGTGCGCACCCAAAGATGAAGGGTTCTCTGTTTGAGAGATTCAAATTCCTTTAACTTTGAGTTACCTCGGGTTCTTCCTGCTAGGAACCAACTCAATCGTTGGGAGCTGGGTAGAATAAGAGACAGAGATAGGAACTGGAGGTCATAAGGTAACAGAGAAGATCAAGATAGAAGGGACAATCTACAGGAACAAGAAAATGGGAGGCCAGCAGACAATCAATGAGGTGGAAGTGAATGGCCTGGATAACAGAGGGGAAACACAAAGGATGATCTTTGAAATGGCCGGGTTATATGCCAGAAGATATGAAAGGCCAGTTTACATAGAATACTACCCTGCCGAGCAGATCACATTTCCAGCTAGGTTCAAAGCTCTTTCACTTTGTTTAATGGAGAAGACAAATACGCTCTACTTTGTAACATATAGGAAGATTTTTTGCTCAGTGTGGCCATTGAGAACAATCAATTGCTTCAAGCTCAGATTGTAGCATTTTATTTGATGCATTCATTCAGGAAAAGAAAAAAGAAAAACAGAAATTGATAGTAATGAAGGAGAGAGTGGCGGTGGTGATCAAGCGTGGAAGGTGGCGGTCGGAATGCCTTTGATGGGGTTGGCCACAGGGTGAGGAGCCTCATACTTGCTGAAGAGCTTGTAGGAGGAAATGAGAGAAATGAGTGCATAGCAAGCCACCACCACAAATGTAATGGCGACAGAAGCTGTGGCTTTGTGACAGAATCCCCCAAAAGACCCACAAGCTGCGCTCCATGCCACGTCTGAATTGCCCTTGTATGCCAAGTACAGCACCTCCATTGACACAGCTCCAGCACCCAGAATTAGGTACGTCAGCACCTAAACAAAAAAAGAAAAGAAAAAAATTAACATATTCTATTTTTATCAACAACAAAAAAGGAAAGAGAAATCATTTTTGATCCACGTTTTTTTGCCTGTTTTATCACTTTAGTCTCATAGTTTCAATTCTGTCAATGTTAATCTTTGTAGTTTTAATACCCTCGCAATTGAAGGACACATTACAAATTTTCATCCAAAATACCCCCATATCAGCCATGTAGTTATTCGGTCACATTATCGGACGTGTCCGAGTTGCGAGAATATCAACTACAAGGACAATTGTTAGAATTGAATTACCATATGAACAAAATTGGAAAATCCAAAAAACAACGAGGACCAAAAGTAACTTATAATAGTAATAAAAAGAGTTGAAATTGGAATTCAAGGAATTAATTACATGATCTAGGAAGAAGAAAGTCCAGGCTTGGGACATGGTGAGGGAACGAGGCTTGGCTGCAATGATAGCGGTGAGAAGGGAATATCCGGCACAAATGCCGTTGGCATTCACCAAGTACCTGCATTGCATGCATCATCCACATATACAACGGCGGAGTCAGTAAATTCATCAAAGAGGGTCAATCTCAAAGTCTTTAGTAATAACTCATATGTCATTCCAATACATTCACAATCGTCCTCGACGAGTTTTCATCTCTTGAAATCTTTTCATAATCACTTCATTATCAATAATGTCAAACAGTGGCGGAGGTAGAATTTGATATTTGGGGGGGCCACAAGCTTAAAACTAAGGGATTTTTTATGCGATCTATACTATACTCTTTATACAATCAAAGAGGTGAGAAGATGATGGGGGCCCATGCCATATCAGGCCTATGCATAGCTCCGCTCCTGATGTCAAAGGTATCTTTCTCAATATATATAATCAAGCTGTCATTCATCCATATATACTATGTATACAATTAATTATTAAATTACACACTCCTTCAACAGATTTTTCCCAAAATTCTAATTATGCTCTAATTTACATTAAATATGAGGGAGTTGTTACTGACACTCAAAAATAGTTATCATGCATTTTTCTTTTTGGCCTTATATATATATGTATATATAAATAGATAAAGAACAAGTGTATGATAATTTTTTTGGAGTGCAGCGGAACTCAGTAATTCTTAAAAATAAAACAAAATAAAATTCTCCTACTTTTTTCTCTTCTCCCACTACGAAAAAAAAAAGCAATAATAAAATAGTACGGGGAGTATATATATGTGTTTTTGGTATTAAAAAAAAAGAAGCATATATTTGTTATTAAGTCATATTAAAATCTAAACCCAGTATAATCTTCAGTTTAGAATTTTTGAGATTTTTGTAACCACAACAACCCTTGTGATGAAATGGAGAGCATGAAGATTTAATAACAAACCTGAAAGCTCCGATGTGGGAGTAGGAAACAGAGCCAAAGTCATTGGTCTGGGAGTTATGAAGCATCACCACAAGAGCCGCCACACAAGGACCAATTGGCAGCAGACGCAGCAAAGTCTCAGCTGTGCGGAAACTGCTACTGCTTTCATCTTCGTCTCTCGGCCCCATCCCTATGATCTCCATTGGACTGCCTGCAGCTGCTACAGAACTTCCAAATTTCTCTTTCTTTTCTGCCATATCCATCTTCAGTTTGTTGCTTTGCTTTCCCCTTTTTGGAGCTTGTGGTTCTAAACATGATCTTCTACCGGAACTAGCTAGCTCCTTAATAATGGAAACTTTAGTTAAGGAGGTGGGTGAGGAGCATTCAATGTCATTAAGGCACACCACACATTCCCATGTTATAACTTTCTCTTACATATACACACACATCCCAATTATAGGGATGATTTTGGCTCTAAATCTCATCTCGCACACTTCTCTATTACTTTAGCAATTCGGGGACAATTCCACTAGGGCCACAAAACAATTCCACAATGTGCATGCACTCATATATATATATATATATATAACAATTTGGGGACCTTGTACAGTGGCACCAGTTGCACCACACTAGGGCCTGCCCTGCTTCTAATCTAATGAAGCTACTGTTAATCAAAGAACTACCATAACAAAATTTTTAAAAATAAAATAGAAAAAATATGTAAAGGAATCACTAGAAACAAATTTGGTTGAATTCTGATCTCCGGCGACAGCCAAGTTTACTGAGAAACCATCCTGATTAAAATTTGTTACAACCAGGATTGAATATTAATCAGCTGGAAATCAATTGACATAAAACTAACTAACTAATTCATTAATTGGTTTGCTTTTAATATTGTATGATATGATTGGGACATTCCAACTAACGTTTGATTTGGGTTTGGTACCCCCCTCACTAGTTCCCTAGCTTGTTTTCTTTTGGGCTTTTTCGGCCCCAATGCTCCAAAAACAATCATCATTGTACCATAAAATAGACATAATGTGAGAGCACAACAAAATATACGAGTGGAATTTTATTCACTGATCTTGTGATACAATTTTCTCTAGGATTTATCTGTCGTCACTGAAGCTTTCTAATTCTCAGCTTTTCTCTTCTGTGGACTTGTTCCTCCTCCAAGGTATGCTAGTACCATTTTATAGGCATGCAACATGTGGCAATGCAGGAGCTTTATACATGTAAGCCCATAAATATGGCCCAAAATATAGAAAATCTTAAGAAAAAAACCCATTTCACCTTTAAAATCGACTAAATACATCATACAACCCTTGAAACACTAAAAAATTACAACAATGCTATCAATTGTTTTTCTTTTTCTAAAAATCATAATGCGAAGTTTCTAATGATATTTCACACATCATTCAAATTAAAAAATATATTACATCTAGCCCATTTTGGGTTTTTCTTTCTTCAATTTATAGATTTTAGGGTTTATATATAAATGCAATACAAGAAATTAGTTTTATTATAAATTTCTCAAAATGCAATTAGATGAAAGGAAAGTCCAAGCCTTCCTTACTTCAGTCTCAAATCTCCTATATGAGTCTTCACCTTGTATTCAATAGCCTCCAAATTTGGTGTTGTGGGGCATTCATATTTACAACCAATAATGCTACAGGCACCAACTTATAAATCAATTTAACGATACCAACTGACGTGGCATCCGACATGGCAATTCATTTCATTTTCCACGTCATAATTTAATCACCCAAGTTTTAACATTTAACCATTGAAAAAGTTTCAAACTTAACTTTCACATCTAGGTACTGTCGTCAAAATATCCCACCTCCGTGACTCCGTCCCACCCAACCTTCAACTTTGGGAACGCTGCTGCAGCCACTCACTCCCGCCGGACCATCATCAGATTGAGAACTCTTAAGTAAACAAGGCCTACTGTAATTATTGTGTAACCTTCCCCATGATTGACTCCACATCCATAAAATATGCAGACTTTCAAAGTAAACAAGAGATCTCATGGAATGTTGTTTGTGTGGGGTTCTTCGCCCCTGGTTCATAAAAAAAAAAAAAAACAGGGGGATCTCATGGAATACTGCCAAGGAAAGCTTTAAATTCTTCTCTAATATTGTTAGGCCCGAATCCCACTTGGGCCTAATACTCTTTCCAGCCTACTTGCTATCACCTTCGTATTGCCTTAGTATCGCCTAGCTATTCTCACAATTGAGTTTAATGTCATTTGGGGCTGTTTATTTTCAAAGTGTTACTAGAGAAATACTTTCTTACTCCACATTCTCCGATAAGTTTGTTTGAATAATATATAATTGGATTAATAGTGTGGTAGTGTAATATATGCATGGATGAGTTGAGTTGAGTTAGGTATGGTGAAGAGTCTCATATCATATTGAACAAATACACAAAGGCTTTGGATTCATTGACAGACATAACTTATTGCAAGAATCATCAAACGAATTGTCTTTCTTTCCACGAGAGAATTATAAAAGTTGTATATTCCTTCCCCACCATCGATCAAATAAACGAAAATTTAATTACTTGATGGGTATTGGGTAACTCTTTGACTTGGATTACGACATCATAAGGAACACTATTCTGAGTTTGAATTTGATCAAGATTTGTGTTCGTCTCTTTGATGGTCAAAGCCCTAATAGAATTCAAAACATTGAGTACCGGTAGAACGAGAGGTTTATATTGTGTTCAAAGAGTACTTCCACTTGCTTTGCCAAATCAAAGGCAAATTAAAGGGCTGTAGAATTTATACCATCCATTGAGTGATTTGCATAAAGAATTATAAATTACGTACTATTTGCGAGAAGAAAAAAAAAAGGGGTTCCATATATAGTGTGTGAACATATTATATAATAATTAAAAGGTGTTGTGCCAAAAAAATATAAAAATACCATAAAATCAAAAGGGTTCATGGCAAAAGTTTGATGTTGCCATATTACTATTTTGGGCGGTGCATCACTTTCACCATGCACTGAGCAGGGATATATTGGATGGTATTTATGCTCTGCTTGTCCAATCGAGGCAACTTCAAAATCATGAAAATTCCAAAGGCACAATTCCACCATGTTACCAGCATCATTCACCCATTTTGAAAATGAGTTCTTGTTTAGTTTTTACGTAACAGTAATACCAAGGGAATCAAAAGTTTATATGAATACATCAATGATTATAATCGGTGCAAAAGGCCAATTAATGAAGGCAATGTGTTCGCTTCCTTGAACCTGATTGAGTTCAATTCCCCTTCCCTTGTCAAAATAAATACGATTGGCATATGTGCATACTATTTACACAATAAGGGAAGGGATATAATAAAAACTTTACAATTGGAGGTCTGAAATTCTTGAGACAAGATCAAGTGGCAAAAAGTTCAATTATCGCAAACCCTAAGTTCCACAAAATTCTTTAGCTTCGTAATGTGGCGGTTTTTCTTTGACTCTACAACCGCGACACTTACCACGACAACAAAGAGGAACCTCTAGATGGGGCTAAACAGCTCCCAAGCCACGGCTTGCTCGGGGTTCAAGCCACCTTTAATGGCTCAAGCCGAGCTGGCCTCGTCGGCATTGACGAGCTGACCATCGAGGGAGACCTGTGCTGACCAGTCGGAATACAATGTCCTTAAATATTTTTTTGAACTTATTTGTAGTTAGATTACGGATTACTTAGAATTCTTTCTGCAAACACCATTTTGTTCATTGGGTACAACACACATTGACTTGCATCACGCTTCCCCCTTTCCCAAATCATATGGTTATTAAGGTATATAATGCATTTGGGAAAGTGAGAACCAAGATGGAAAAGAGATGCATTACAAGAACTCATGCGTAAGTGTCAAACTTAATATAGCCTCCATTTATTCTCTCCTCCAGACCATACCGGTTATGAAGTTAGTGAAAAACAACTCAATCAACTGGAAAACCACTTACATCATCCTCAAAGTTCTAGGAATAGCTTTCAAAGCCTGCAAGTAGTTCCTAGGACATTTCCTCAGACCCCGCAGCTGTACAAGAACAAGGAACAAAAAGTTCATGATCGGTTACGAACCACAAGAAGAAGTAATCCAAAGCGGGAATTATCATAATTCATAAAAGATAAAATCATCATCATCCCAGATGCATGAGAAAAATGACAGAAAAGACTGCATCAATTCAGCAAAGACAGGGAAAGGATTACTTACAATAACAAATAAAGGATTTAAATTTATTGAACTTAATCTTTCAGGATAGTTTAGAGATGCATTAGCAAGACCCTACAAAGAAGAAGTTATCCAAGAGTAATCATAGTTGCAGACTTACTATAGCTCTTTCAGCAACCAGATGTCGGGTTCAGGGTCCCTTCAATATCATTAGTTTATTCTTTTGCTACAGTAATCGGATTTTTTTTAATAAAAGATTAAGTTCCACAAAATAAATACTAATGCTGCACTACATCAGCATGCAATAAACTACTTTATTTAGAAGTAATCAAGTACATAAAGAAAAGCAAAAGTATCCTCACAAGTCACAACATATGAAAACATTAAAAGGATATCCCCTTCTCTTGGATCAAGGATCACGCTCAGAATAGACTTCTACTCTTCTCTGAGTACTACAGCTCCAATGAGGTAAGTTGGCTGTTGCCAACCACTGAAATCAGAATGCAGCTCGATAAACCATCAAGCAAACTTTAATCCATTGCATATTCGAAAAACCATCTTTTTTTCACAAGAAATCTTCTGGGTAAAAAAATACCAGCTGGTCTTTTGCAACAGAACTGTCGTCTTTTAAAGGCCTTGTAGTATCTTTGCAATTGTAAGAACAAGAAACCTCTTATTGCAAAAAAAAAAAAAAAAGGAAAAAGATACCCAATCTCAATAACATCTAGCCTTTTAAATACACCATTATGCAATTAAATAGTACAACAAACAACACAAATAATCAGGGAGACAGAGGAAGGGGGGGAGGGGGGGTGGGGTACATGCATTACAAACCAAATGGATGGGAATATAGATAACCCACAATTCTTGAGCCTTATCAGACATCACCTACTTTGATACCAATCAACCTATCATTAAGAGCAGTTAATTTACTTGCAAACTGCTTAAAAACAGTTACCTGGAAACACAACAAGAGCTAATGGAGCACCGCCCTGCAACAGAAGTATTAGTTTTAACAAATTCATTAAATATTTTAGCAACCCTTTTGCTGGAGCTAGAATAACTGATATTCAGAGGATTGGTACTAGAAATCTGTATTTCAATGAAATTCGACCTATGGAACATGGGTCAAACCCCTGTTCCACACATTGATTTGAAAACAATTAAAAGATGAGCTTCTATATCATTCAAAGATATGTAGTGTTAAACAGCTTTATAAGAAGTCTAGCATATGAATGCCAACAAGAATAAACTCAAGCAAATATTTCTTCTTGATAAGCAAATATAATGTTTAGAGGCATAAGCAGCAAAGTTAGTGAGTATCAGTTACCATTGAGTTGAGACGGCGCTTATCCTTCGTATCTGCAAACCGAAACATCTTCTACTTGCCACTTACGCAAAATTACAGCACATACCACACTTTCCAAGTCTCTCACTAATGTAAGCTATTATGTTCACCTTTTCTTTCTTTTTCTAATACGCTATTATGTTCAGTTTGTAACAAAAAAATCTTAAGTTTCAGTACCACAAAGAAAAAATCATTATCATAATCATAGTTTATCAGTTTCAGGATCCAATATGAGGCATGTTAGTTTAGGTTATTTGAACTTTGGCAAGAACACAGTCTAAGCATATATGATGATTGATATAATTAACCATCACATTTCACTCTCTAATATTGTTAGGCCCGAATCCCACTTGGGCCTAATACTCTTTCCAGCCTACTTGCTATCACCTTCGTATTGCCTTAGTATCGCCTAGCTATTCTCACACAAAATAACGACTTTGTCCTTTCCGCATTGCTAGCTGGCCACGATCAGGAAGTGTATAAACTCTATTTTTCATTTGCTTGGGAGGCATGAATGAAATACAATCGAATTTCCTTTTCTCTGTTTTCTGCAAATTTCCTTTTTCGGATCTAAGGTTCTACCATTTGGTATCTAGAGCATGTTTCGTGCCATGGGGAGGAAAGGACAGTCGACCACTTCCATGGAGGTTGCTGCCATCCAAGGACGGAACCATGAATTTTTCAGTGGGTGGGCTAGTTAAAATTTTTAGCTTAAAATCTAAATAAAAAAAATCTTACCTAATCCCTAAAAATTTCTTGCCATCAATCGAATAAGCTTCACAAATACAAAGTGCAAAAATATAAATAATTAAGTTTTATTTATATATTAATTGTAAACACAAGAATAATAGAATTGAGTTAACATATTGTTCCATTCTTGAAAGAGAATACAAATAAAATTGAGAAAATAATATTTCCCTAATGTGTTGTAGTTGATGGTGAGCCATATAGGCTTTTTTTTTTTTTTTCTTATTCAAAAACCTTTTGTCAAAGGCAGCAAATAATTTCATAAAAAAAAGAAAAGAAAAAGGCTGCAGACATAAAAAAAACAAAAAAGAGACATCAGACCTAGTAAAATAAAATAAAAATTCAAAATCGAGGCAACTTCAAAATCATGAAAATTCCAAAGGCACAATTCCACCATGTTACCAGCATCATTCACCCATTTTGAAAATGAGTTCTTGTTTAGTTTTTACGTAACAGTAATACCAAGGGAATCAAAAGTTTATATGAATACATCAATGATTATAATCGGTGCAAAAGGCCAATTAATGAAGGCAATGTGTTCGCTTCCTTGAACCTGATTGAGTTCAATTCCCCTTCCCTTGTCAAAATAAATACGATTGGCATATGTGCATACTATTTACACAATAAGGGAAGGGATATAATAAAAACTTTACAATTGGAGGTCTGAAATTCTTGAGACAAGATCAAGTGGCAAAAAGTTCAATTATCGCAAACCCTAAGTTCCACAAAATTCTTTAGCTTCGTAATGTGGCGGTTTTTCTTTGACTCTACAACCGCGACACTTACCACGACAACAAAGAGGAACCTCTAGATGGGGCTAAACAGCTCCCAAGCCACGGCTTGCTCGGGGTTCAAGCCACCTTTAATGGCTCAAGCCGAGCTGGCCTCGTCGGCATTGACGAGCTGACCATCGAGGGAGACCTGTGCTGACCAGTCGGAATACAATGTCCTTAAATATTTTTTTGAACTTATTTGTAGTTAGATTACGGATTACTTAGAATTCTTTCTGCAAACACCATTTTGTTCATTGGGTACAACACACATTGACTTGCATCACGCTTCCCCCTTTCCCAAATCATATGGTTATTAAGGTATATAATGCATTTGGGAAAGTGAGAACCAAGATGGAAAAGAGATGCATTACAAGAACTCATGCGTAAGTGTCAAACTTAATATAGCCTCCATTTATTCTCTCCTCCAGACCATACCGGTTATGAAGTTAGTGAAAAACAACTCAATCAACTGGAAAACCACTTACATCATCCTCAAAGTTCTAGGAATAGCTTTCAAAGCCTGCAAGTAGTTCCTAGGACATTTCCTCAGACCCCGCAGCTGTACAAGAACAAGGAACAAAAAGTTCATGATCGGTTACGAACCACAAGAAGAAGTAATCCAAAGCGGGAATTATCATAATTCATAAAAGATAAAATCATCATCATCCCAGATGCATGAGAAAAATGACAGAAAAGACTGCATCAATTCAGCAAAGACAGGGAAAGGATTACTTACAATAACAAATAAAGGATTTAAATTTATTGAACTTAATCTTTCAGGATAGTTTAGAGATGCATTAGCAAGACCCTACAAAGAAGAAGTTATCCAAGAGTAATCATAGTTGCAGACTTACTATAGCTCTTTCAGCAACCAGATGTCGGGTTCAGGGTCCCTTCAATATCATTAGTTTATTCTTTTGCTACAGTAATCGGATTTTTTTTAATAAAAGATTAAGTTCCACAAAATAAATACTAATGCTGCACTACATCAGCATGCAATAAACTACTTTATTTAGAAGTAATCAAGTACATAAAGAAAAGCAAAAGTATCCTCACAAGTCACAACATATGAAAACATTAAAAGGATATCCCCTTCTCTTGGATCAAGGATCACGCTCAGAATAGACTTCTACTCTTCTCTGAGTACTACAGCTCCAATGAGGTAAGTTGGCTGTTGCCAACCACTGAAATCAGAATGCAGCTCGATAAACCATCAAGCAAACTTTAATCCATTGCATATTCGAAAAACCATCTTTTTTTCACAAGAAATCTTCTGGGTAAAAAAATACCAGCTGGTCTTTTGCAACAGAACTGTCGTCTTTTAAAGGCCTTGTAGTATCTTTGCAATTGTAAGAACAAGAAACCTCTTATTGCAAAAAAAAAAAAAAAGGAAAAAGATACCCAATCTCAATAACATCTAGCCTTTTAAATACACCATTATGCAATTAAATAGTACAACAAACAACACAAATAATCAGGGAGACAGAGGAAGGGGGGGAGGGGGGGTGGGGTACATGCATTACAAACCAAATGGATGGGAATATAGATAACCCACAATTCTTGAGCCTTATCAGACATCACCTACTTTGATACCAATCAACCTATCATTAAGAGCAGTTAATTTACTTGCAAACTGCTTAAAAACAGTTACCTGGAAACACAACAAGAGCTAATGGAGCACCGCCCTGCAACAGAAGTATTAGTTTTAACAAATTCATTAAATATTTTAGCAACCCTTTTGCTGGAGCTAGAATAACTGATATTCAGAGGATTGGTACTAGAAATCTGTATTTCAATGAAATTCGACCTATGGAACATGGGTCAAACCCCTGTTCCACACATTGATTTGAAAACAATTAAAAGATGAGCTTCTATATCATTCAAAGATATGTAGTGTTAAACAGCTTTATAAGAAGTCTAGCATATGAATGCCAACAAGAATAAACTCAAGCAAATATTTCTTCTTGATAAGCAAATATAATGTTTAGAGGCATAAGCAGCAAAGTTAGTGAGTATCAGTTACCCATTGAGGTGAGGGGCATAAAAGGCAGAATCAATATGGCACACACATCATGTACCAGGCATCAGGCATCATGTATGGATTATGATACTTGGAAATTAAGTGGACCAAGGAAAAGTAAATATCATCTGGTTAGTTCATTAAAGGAAGGGGCTTTCTGTGACAATAAGCTACACAAGGTTTTCTTCTCTACATAGACGATCACTCGAATCTCCATGAGCATAACACAAACACAACTATGCTATTCACAATATGTACTCTACTTAAATTTGGATGCTATTCACATATCTACTCCAGGTAAAGTTTACAGCTTCAACATTGGCAACTTCTCAAAATCCTTACACCTGGTTCCAAAAATCAAGATAAAACATGATAAAAGGGTTCAATGGCCATACCAAGCACAGAACTTAATGGAAGTTTGAACTAAAACTTAAACCCTAAACTAAATCCACAATTCATAAAACAATTCCCAAAATAACAAACAAACAATCAATTTCAAAAGCATTATAATACAGCTACAACTTCTTGGTTATTTAGAAAAAGCATATATTGAAAGAGCACAACATTAATATATAGGTGCAATGCAAATTTTAGCAGTAAAAACCTAAACTTTCCCAAATCCCTCAGTTCAATACCAACCCCCTTCCTAAATACAATCTAATTAGCCTTCTTCTAATCAAAATCCTTCCTTGATCCTCACCAAATCAATCAATCAATCACTTGTACTCGAAGCTGGGCACGGGCGGGGCATCAAAGCTCTCCAAAATCTTTGTCTCGCTTCCGCTACTCTTAGCCTCAGGCTCCTTGCTCTTCCCGAACCACCCTCCAAGCCACCCTCCCGAACTAGCCTCAGCCCCGCTGCTGCTCACCGACGTTGCCGGCTCCGAGCCCGGCTGACCTGGAGCACGGCCCATAGGAGGAAGCCCAGGCAAACCGGCCACGCTCGCCGGCTCTTCAATCACAATAGGCATCTGCTGCTGCTGGCTCATGAACTTATTAAGCATGATCCCAGCTCCTTCGATCAGAGCCAGGAGGACCCCACCAAAGGCAGCCGATCGAGCAGAGGCGCCGAGGCCCTGTCGCATCTGGAGGAAGCCACCGGTGGCAGCGCCGGCGATGATAGAATTCCAGGGGTCCTCCTTCTGGCGGACATAGACCATGGTGCAGTCGAAGGCGGAGAAGAGGCCACCCCAGACGGCGAAGCTACCCCCGACTCGCGGCGCGTTCATGCGCACGGCTTGCGAGCCGCCGATGAGCCGAGTGCCGGAGGGGGGG